ATATTGAGAGCAGTGAGTCATGTGTTTGATGGGCGGTGTGCGGAGAGAAATCAGGCTGTGGTTGCAGCATTGGCTTGAAACAAAGCGGGAATATGGATGCTGCCCTAATCTTTACGAATGACGTGTTTCAAAGTCTCGGACTACAGTATAAAATCTCCCTCTACAGTAAAAATGCAATTTTCCCTAAAAATTGCATTTTTACTGGGGTGCCCAACTTTTTGGACAGTGACAAAGAGTTCGGACATGCAAAAAAATTGGAAAAATATGTAAAAATGCGGGCCACTGGTCAGTCTGGGCTCCAACGCCTCACTCCCCCATCAAATACCGCCAAAACCAACGGGTAAAATTAAAAACCAATCTGCCACTGCCAAATCGGCTTTGCAGGACACGTTACGTCATGGTGGGCGGTCAGTTCAAATTGTAAACTCCTTCTTTTCCTGCTCATTGTGAAGTAAATCCTTGAAACACCAAACTGAGCAGCTGCACGGCATATTCACTTGTCCACCACTTGCTCCCACCGAGTACCTCTGAGAAAGCCATGGCCCCAAACAAACGTGAAAAGCGCATCCAAGCTGCTATAATAAGTCTTGTGCACAATGGCAGCACCAATCGACACGTATTTTCCGTCACAAAACTTCCCAAGTCCACACCTTCTTTCCGACGGACATGTGGTGTACTTGGGAGGTGAGCACGGAGAAAGAGACCTCCCTCGTCACCAAACGCCCTCACTTGCTCCCAATCCGCACGCAAAGTACGTGCAGTACAAACCTCACGCCCCGCTTCTAGGTCCCGGTGCCGTCGACGGCGGGGATCTCTACATATCCTCTCCCTTCCCGCACACTTGGAGAGCAAGTGATTGTGGCCTCAATGTCGGCCTCGCCCTACTTTGCAATGGCCACTTCCTGTACTGGGCGATGGATTTCTCCCCGTCTCCTGGAAACCAGATCTCTCGGCTTCCTGTTCGTGAAATACCTACGGATGCTTTTTGGGATCCAGCAGGCGTCTTACTCAAGTCTTGGTCCGTCGTCGTGGATGATGAAATAATGCGGAAATATGACTTCTTTGAAGGAGCTTGGGTTATGCGCGGTACTCATTTGGTACAAGACGTCAACGTTCAAGACTACCCTGCTGGCGTCTTGCACCGTCTTCGTGGTGAGTTCTTCCGTACCTGTTCAAGAGAAGTTGTTCCAGCCTTCCAGCGCATATCCTCACGTCTTCTTAAAGCAAAGCAGTCTGTGCAGCGGCATGGAGGCAAAATGTTCGGATTCAACGACAAGCCTGGCGGAATCATTGAATGCGACATTCAAAGTCTTGCTACGTATCTCAGACTTCCGGCCGACGCCCTTTTAGCTTTTATCCCGGTTTACTGCTCTTCCTTTCTTTTGTTCCGAGGCACGGTCAACTTTCTTTGCTTAGAGGACATGACAGGTGTATTTGAAATCACCAAGCCCTTGCTTACGGGGCCATGGATGCGCAGTCAATTGTTCGACACAGGAACAGGCTTGCTTTATTCGCCCTCAAACGACAAGTACTTTAGTTGTACCCGCAGGGAGGAAGTTTCATGGGTGACAGAATACACTGGTCCAGGTCTCCCGATTAGGAAGGATCTAGTGCTCGCATCTTTCATAGCCGGCGTTGATTTCTGAGAGGAGGGTGAACTCGTTGCTAGTCCCGTAAAACGCTGCTTGTCTCCCCATCTTCGTCCCAGTCACAGAAGTGCACCCTCCTTCTCTTGTGTGAGATTTGCAGAGCCTTTTTTGCACGACAAAAGACTACATCCGGTTCCTCGGCAATTGTCGCGGCGGCGATGTGCCTCTCATTTCCACGGCCTCGGCCCCAGTCTCAGTCCCAGTCCCAGCCACAGCCACAGCCACAGTCCCTATACTATCCCCTTCTCCATCGCCGCAATCGTCGCTATCGACTTCAATGTTCGCTTTTTGGCCGCTGACGTCTAGGCTTTTGATGTAGCTGGCGTAGAGGTCCGTATCTGGATCAGGAACAGGGTGCTTTCCCGCCCACGCCCACAGCTCGTCTCTCCATCCGTCCATCGAGCCAGCGGTAGAAGCGACGAGAGCAGCAAGAAACAGCGGTAGAAGCGGCGAGATTGGAGATAGCACGACAACAGCGAGATACAGCGGTAGCAGCGGCGAGAATGGCAACAGAGCTGCAAAGGCAAAGTTGACGAATTTCTAGCTGCATTTCCGAATGCATGCCTCCTGCTCGACCACGACGCAACAGACCAATGCGTATGTAAAAAGATCATCAGACGGATCGGAAGCGGCGATGTATACGAAATATCCGCCGCATCTGCTTCAGTCCACATTGCACTAGTAGCCGCATTGTGCCGCAACGTCCCATGCTCGTCAATTGCGAAATCGGAAGGCAGCATCATGGATTCCACTTTTGTGAATGCGCAGTCTGGGTCCGGTATTTCCTCTAATGAGAGCGAAGTTTCAATGCGAGAAAAACCGCATCCTGCTCATCGTAGATGAGATACAGGCAGGGCTTGGCCGGACAGGCCGACTTCTTTGTTGCCACCATGACAACGTGAACTGACATAGTCGTCTTGGGAAAAGCGTTGAGTGGTGGGGTATTTCCCGTTTCGGCAATACTTGGTACTGAAGATGTGATGAATTTGATTTGACCTGGTCATGTATACCTGCTGGTCTGATCCACTAGGGTGTTGGAGAAGGTCACAGAGGGAGTCGAGAGAAACATGGCTCATGCTTTGGAGTTGTACGAGAGCGTAATCGAGAAATGCAACGATGGCGACATTGTGCGCAATCTTGGACACGTGATGACGGATGGAGACTCTCCATCCGTCAACACTTGTCCAAGGTTTACAGTTTTGCTTGGAGATCGCAATGATTTTATGCAGCAGTTGGGATTCCATTGGCACAGGGAGGACAAATTACAGTGCGTGGGAGCAGATTGCTCCCAGACACTGGCTGCAGTTGTGCTGTGGCATTTATAATCAGCACAAAATCTCACTTAGACCCTCCCCCCTCCCCACAAGTTTGCGACATCCTCCCCTCCCGCTCGCCTCTTCCTCCATCATTTACCCGCGATAGCCCCGTTCTGAGCACCCGTCATGTGGGCCCTTCCGCACCCTGGTGAGGCTGTTGCAGGCTCATACGTTCGCTCATTACGAGCATGAGATGCCTCGATACATACAAGCTGATAACCCAGGGCCGGAAGTAGCACAGTAAGGTACGCACTGACGTGAGTTGCAAATAGCGTCGAGCGTCTGTCGGTAGTTAGTGGAGGAAGAGGTAGTGAGAGGTGGTCGATGGGTCGCGAAAGTAAGTGCCAACTTCTGTGACTGCGTCACCCTCCTCTCTATCTATTTGTATTCTGGCAATTCTTTCGTGAGTAGAAAGCGGATATATAATGACTACTGGAGGAAGAGCAAACAGAACCCATAGCAGAGATGGGGATGGACAGGTATGAAATGCAGAGATGCCGCGGGAGAAACCAGGAAAGGACCACGCCCTGGGGCGAGTGGTGCACGTCACACCTTTTACTGTGTAATGCCCTCGCCATCATCCGTTTGAGAACGCACTGAAATCCTAGCAGGATTGTGAAGGTCCTTTCATAGATGGTGACGTTCTTCACTTCTTGTACCGCTATAAGTTGCAGGAGAGCATGAAACGTCTTTCCGTTGCAGTTGAATGCCATCGCACTTTCGAGTTTCAACCCGTGTTTCGAATAATACACTAGGAGTTTTGGTGCGCCGGTACCTCTGGCGCGAGCATAATTACAAATGCGACTCAAACGAAAACGGAGGGAGAACGAATTAGCCTCAAGAGGCTAGAGATTCCAGGGGAGGATTAACGCATGCAACTTGTTGGGGAAGGTTCGAATCGTACGTTTGCCATTTCGGAAACAGAATCCGCTTAAAACAGACGAGTATTCTAGACTCTCAACGGGATAACGTGATAGGGTGCATGTTCAAAAGTCCAACTATTTGCAGCTGTGTTGGGAATTGGCATCGCAGTCGGCGAGTCATTGCGGATCGAAGCAAAAGCGTTACGGATGAGGAAATGAATTCAAAAGATGTTCACACACAAACTTATGCAGCCAGCAACTTGAGCTGGATTTTTATTTCAGAGAACTACGTAATCTGTATGGTCTTCTTTTCCTTGTCACTTGAAGTAGCCTTCACCATTTTCGGCAAAATAGGAC